CTAATTCTTATTGACTCACATCTCCCTTTTCTTAACCAAACTAAATAGGCATAAAAACACATATAATTTGTTTAAAAAAATTAGCTGCCAACTGTTTTTCTCCTGTGTGTTTTTAAATTAAAAACCACAAAACTGCTTTAAACTGATCTAGAAGATACGTTAAGCAAATACTATATTGCATATATATTGACATTAAAATCTCCAATTCCATTGAATCACCATTTAAAAAGAGGTACCTTATAAAATGTAATCAGCTAGAATTTGTGTATGTTCACTTCTGCACGCTTATCTAGCTGGTGCTGTTGTACATCAAGTCACTATCTTGATGTGGGGAAAGTTACCATAACAAGATTTGTATCACTCAGCAAGTTGTTTCACAGTATAGAGCTTTAACCGAGTCAAGTATGCATTAATATTTTGGATGAAAAAGTTTTTGTGTAGATGACATTCACTTAAATCGGTCTCTCATCATCCCAAGAATAAAATGGTCGGAAGAGAAAACTCTAACTCAGATACCAGGATGGTAAACCAAAGAAGAGTACTTTTTTGCAATTATATTACATCAGTTTGCAGATTGTTTCTAGATAATTTAATTGATCATTTTGCTTTGAAAATAAATTCAGAAATAACATTTTTAGAAAATTTTAAATTTGGGGACAAAAATAAGGTTTTCTCTTAACACAATTATACATTTACTTAATATAAACTTGTTTTACTATAAGGACTTTAAACAGAAATGAGAGAAAATAGAAGTATCAATCAAGTATTTATGTCTTTTTCTAGAACTGATCTTTATTAGGAAACTGTAGCCCTACTCCCAATAAATATCAACACTATCATGAAATATAACAATTATTGTCCAAATACTGAACTCCTGCAACCAAAACACACTTAGGGTTCTGGAAATCACAGTGCACACATACTACTACCACTTCCCACAAAAATAACAACAACAACAACAAACCAGATCACGTGTAGGGCTGAACTGGCTAAAAAACACTTATTGTGTTACTGCTTTAAGAACTCCCCGGAGCACTTTATAACTCATTAATTGCACATTTTCCTTAGGAGGGAAACAAGGTCCTCTTTCAGTCACATAGGCATAGGGAAACCTCAAAACCCAAAGGCCATCAGGTGGGAGAGTGATTTCTTGCTTCTCTGGGTAAAATACTGGGCATGGTGGTGGGCCTGGCTGAACCTGAAAAACAAAACAAGATGTATGGATTGTGATGAGTTGTATGAGCCCCCGGTAAAATGATTAAAAACAAAAAAGAAGCTCCCGAAAGATAAAGACCTCAACAAATAGGTTCAAAAACTGCATAAGATTAATCAGGTCTGGGTGCAGTTAATTTTAAATATTATCCTACTTTTCTGTAGGATTTTAACTTCAAATTCTATTTCTGAGCCAAATGACTTTACATACTGATTTACATAGCCACAATAATAAAAAATGAAATAAAATAGTAGTTCTAGAAGATATCTAAAATTAAGATCCATTTAGTGAAAGAATCCAAAACAAGCATGAACATGTTTTTTTTGGGGGGGGGATGTGTATGTATGTCAAATTTCTTACCTGAGGCATTAGTATGATCTGCAAAGGAGCATCAGGAACCACCACAAAAAGCCTCATAAGTTGAGCATAATGTGGTTTTAGCCCTCGACCCTGAGACGATGACAGGATATATAAGGGCATATCACTATTGAGGGCTTTTAAAGCTGACTCCTTTGGTCCACTTCCCATTACTTTCATTACTTTGTCAGGTCCCGAACACATGAATCTTCGGCCTCGGGAGTCTTCATATTCAAAGCCCACAAAAGCTCGCGCTATGTCATCCCTCCGTCTTCCCCTTCCCATCACAACTGCACTTCTCTTTCCAGGGATAGCCTTATTTGGAGCAGGCCATGAATTTGTGTCTAAATCTCCTTCATCTTCAGCTCTGGTCCTGATGACAATGTCCCAAGGCATAAGATAGTTTGTTCCTGGAATGAAGCCCTGTTGGTCCAAACCTGTATGAAAGTTATAAGATTTAGCAGGGCCTAGTTTAACCAAAGACCAGCTGGAGAATTTGGGTAGAAGACCTTTAGGGCAATTTGAATGTAGCATGCCTGGCAGATATTCAACTGTAGATGCCTGCCTATCGACTAAGTTTGGTCTCTTCTCTGTCTTTACTTCTCCTTGACCGTGAACTTCTGGGTTGTCTCCTCCTGCTTGTGGGTCAGCTGGATAGGTACCTAGGCTATCTGTGGACTGGCCTAAACTCAAAGCTAAGCTCAGGCTTGTGCTCTCTCCTTGGGTTTGAGGTTCTTTTTCTTTAAGTTTATCCGCATCTGCATCTGCAGGGGCAGGAGATGACTCATTTTTGGCAGGAGCAGGATCTGGAGTACTTGGTTCAAATATTGGGAAATTGATATGATCCAATTTTCCACAACATTTTTCTTCTAGGAGCTATGGAGAAAAAAACAAAACAAAAATGTCAGCTTTTACCCAGGACAGATGAACCCCTCAGGACCAGTGGAGAGAGTGGCGATACCGGGAGGGTAGAGGGAAGGTGAGGGAGAAAGGGGGAACAGATGACAAGGTCTACATATAACCTCCTCCCTGGGGGATGCACAGCGGAGAAGTGGGTAAAGGAGACATCGGATGGTGTAAGATATGA